TGTTTTCAAATAATATTATACATGTGTGTAATTTAAATAAGTCAAAATGAATAAGAAGTCCTCAATAGGAACAATGAAACAAACATTTCTTAAACTTATGGGGTGGTTTCTCTAAAGCTAAGTAACCTCATGACTATACATTTCTCCTTTATTTTATTTTCTTGTGGAGGTCATGTTTTTTCCCCTGAGGTGAGTATTTATATAACTCAGGCTAATTTTGAACTGGGATCCTCCCAAATGCTATGATTACGAGTCTGTACCACCAAACCTAGTTTCTTTCTTTCTTTTTTTTCTTTTCAGTTTTCTTTTTATTTATTATTTGTGTCTTTCACATCATGGCTCTCAGTCACACCCACCCACCCACACCACTAATAAAATAAAATTTAAGGGAAAAAAAGGAAGGCAGGAAAAATGTCATCATGGAAGCAGTAGTGTGATATAGTGAGTTCCGTAATAAACCCTTTTATCCATACATTTTTATATGCAGGCACTCATCCCAAAGAATCATTGGTCTGGTTTGAGGCTCCTGGTCCCTGCTATACCATCGATGCTAGACCCTCACTGGGACCCTTCCTGGACATCCTGTTGCTTCCCAGTGTTGTGGAGACCCTGCAGCTCTGGGTCCACAGGACCGACCAACCCCCTCCATGCTCCAGCAGATCACAGATACAGTCGATGTTGGCGTGGGCCAATACCAGAATCCTGGTTCTGGGCCTGGGTAGTTGCAGGGCTGGTCAGCCTGCCAGCTCTCGCCTGTCTCCACCAGCAGGGCGAGCTCTCCAGCATTGCCCTGGCTAGTTCACCCCTTGCAGTGAAGCAAGGGGCGGGGCCAGTTCTCCTGCTTTCATGCCCTAAAGGTCGGCTCTCCTACATCTACACCTTCAGGGCCAGCTCTACTGTGTTGACCAGGCGAGGTGTAGAGGCCACTCTCCTGAGTACTACATCTGATGAGGGGCAGTGACAGCTCTCCAGCTCTTAGGACCTCATGTACTGCCTTCCACCTGCCTGGGGCATTGATGGGAGCGGGGGGTGTGGGGTGAGGACATCTCTCACCCACCCACACAGCTGCAGGACAGATGAGCACTGGAGTAAGAAGTGACTCTCCCATACCTACAACTTCAGGGCTGCCTCACTCACACCTCTGTAGACAGAACTGGCTCTATTGTGCTGCCCAGGCAAGGCACGGTTTGTGCTCCTGAGTGTTGCAGCTGGTGGTGGGGGCCAAACCCAATTTCTTACAGATATTAACAAACTTTCTGAGGTTTTAAAAGTTTAAGTCTTAAAATCAGGGGAAATGAAAAGCTATGGTAGTCAAATTAAATAATAAATAATATTTAAAATAAATACAAATAAACTCTTTGTAAAACAGACTAGGTATAAAGAAACACAGAGCCACTACCTGTTATTAGATTGGGCAGCAAGTACTTATGCCTCTACTCATCTGTTATAAGCATTTTAATGTTGTCCACTTGATGAACAGCTCCAGAAAACAATGTGATGACATTTATTGAGACCTTCTATGAGTTAAACACTTCATAAGCATTAGCCTAAAAATAAAAGCCACCTACACCAGGTTTTAACCAGTGCTGAGTTAGACTATCATTACACATAGGAGAAAACATTGGGGAAAAGTATGAAAACAAAGTCTGAACACTTAACTACAACCAATATGCATATGAAGTACTGAGATTGAAAAGTGTTTGCAAGCCAAAAAGAAATGCTTAACGGTTCAAATCTTTATCTTTTTTTCTGACATACAGTCAGTATCTAGTTCATAATGAAGACTCAAGATACAGTTCCTGGATTTGTAATGAAGCTTGCATTGTTAGTTAGGCTCTAGGAAAGTATCAATGACTATGAGGGAAATGACACTCCTGAAAGGTAGGCTTAACTGAGCTTCAAATGCTCATAAGAACACATAGAGTGATAATATCCACGTTTTGTAAGAAATGAACAGCAAAACAAAGAAAGCTAAATAACAACATACATGAAAGTTTGCCATAGTAACACAAACCCAAACTTTTTCTACTTCATTTCTCTTACTTTGGATTCACAATTTAGTAAAACGCTATGGAATATATACACGTCATTAGCAATTTTTCTTAAATCTAATCCCTTGTCTCCAAATTTTCTACCATAATTTTCAGTGTACTTCCCTTAAAGTATAGTCACAGTAAATCATTAACGGAGGTGTGGGGAGGTAAAGGCCAGAAGCTCTGTCAAGTGTTTTCCATTATTGCTCTAGGTCCGAAGTTTTTAAAGACAGGGTCACTCTCTGGACCTGAAGCTTAGTGGATGCCAAGACTGTCCGACCAGCGAGTTCCAGGGACCTTCCTCTCTTCACCTCCCTGGCACTAGAACTCCAGGCACATGACCCACATCTGACTTTTTACTAGGGTCCTGGGAAATCTCAGCTCAGCTTCGGCAAAAGACCAACAAATTTGTCTTTCATTCAATACATGTGCATAAATATTGCTTCTTTTAACACAATAATATTATAAATGCAATTTTCTTACTACTTTTTCTTAATTTTGAGATACAAAAGATTTTTACATATCAAATATTACTCAGAAAAAATCATAATTATTGTGTCACATCTCACAACATGAATGTGTATCAAAATTTATTTAACAATTCCATCATTAGATTTGTTAATATTCTTATAATCAGAACTAACACAAAAAACATTCTTACAAATTTTTGTATTTTATATACTCAAAGAAAATATCTAGTAGGAGGATAATTTGCCACATATTAACAAATTTTAAACCTACAAATATTTTTGCATCATATTTCTATTTCCAGCATTTAGTTTGGTGTTCATCTAGTATTTACTTTTTTTGTGGAAGCTGTTTTATAAACATTAATAGTTTGCTTACAAACATTATAATAGATACATGTATATTCATCTTATACTTTACAAATAGACATTTTGAATAAAAATGTGAAGTACAGTAATAAAAACAAACATCTAGACTTCCATGGATTATTGGTTCTTCTGTGTTACAAGATACGAAGCATCACTAACATGCAATCAGAGTCCTGCACTGCTTCTCTTTCTATTACTCTGCTGATGTAATTGCTTTTACTTCCTAGTGTTTTGCTTTGGAATGCACTTCATACATAAGAGGTGGAATATGAGCTTATTAAAACTTCGTATCTATTTAGAAATGATGAAAATTTCAAGAATGAACCAGGGATAGAAATTTTTAGAGTTTCAAATCAGTGAAAGGTTTTCCCTGTTTTTTTTTTTTTGGTTTTTCGAGACAGGGTTTCTCTGTGTAGCTTTGCGCCTTTCCTGGATCTCGCTCTGTAGAACAGGCTGGCCTCGAACTCACAGAGATCCGCCTGCCTCTGCCTCCCGAGTGCTGGGATTAAAGGCGTGCGCCACCACCGCCCGGCCCCTGTTTCTTTTTTAATCTCGAGTCCAGTGCTATGTTTCAGGGAAACTATATAACCCAGCTATTTTCATCAGTTAGGTGGAAATAAGACATTTAAAACACCTTGTATATAGTAAAACAATATTCTGTTATGAATGGGAAATACATGACTAATAAGAACAATTAAACTCCTTCCACTTTTGTATATATTACTCTAAGTGTCAATCAAGAATTCTTAAATACATAACTACATAAATATTTGAACTACATACTGAACTGTATTATTCAAAATTAAATGGTAAATATTATTGCTTAATAAGTCTCTTCAAGAGATAGGCTACTTAGTTACATTAAATCATTACTATGTCAGAATAGCCCCCACAAATATTCAACTATTTCTGTAGTACATACACAAAGTTAATTATGCATATATTTCAAAATAAATCTTACAGTACTTTCCTAGCAATATATAATTTTTATAAAAATTCAGGAAACTTCCCAATTGTTCTAAACTTCTACTTGTATTATTCATTTTAATGTTTTATTAATTTTCTTTAAAATATATTGTTATATTTCCCTATCAAAAAGAAACAAAAAGTTTATGGTCATTTGTCATTAATAGAAAAGTTGCCATCCAGAATTCAATTAGATCATTTATTTGTGTTCATCTTAATTACATTATCACAGGAGTATTTATTTAGAATTACCAACCATATAATATTTTGAAAATAAACTGTATTAATCATCTCTCTAACCTAAAATCCCCTAATTCTTTTATATATGTAACCAAGTTAAGTTGTTTGTAAAACATAATTATAACTTGAAATTAATCATTAAATAATTTCATGAAGTATAAAATTGTTGAACAAGTAATCTCTAAAATATGTATAAATGCTTATCTATCATTTTAAAAAATTTTCACTTTTCTTAACACAGGAAAATAGTGCTAGAAAAAAAAAGCTACAATGATACCCAGCTGGAGACCACAGACTTCAGAGTCCAATGAGCGTATCTCTGACGTATAAATATGTTTGAAAATTTTCTCCATTCAAAGACATGTGTATTAGTAAGATAGTCCAAAATGTAAGGCAGTCATGTACAACATTAAAATGTGGCAACCTTTCACTTTAATCTCAGGGAAAACATTATCTGTCATCATCTACATCATCAGATGTTAACTTATTAACTGCATAAAACGTTTTTTTTTTATTCGAATGTCGGTCACCATTGGTAATGAATATAGAGCTATCTTAATACAAAGGAGAAGTATTTCCTCTCCAAGAGCTAAAACAATAAGTGGTATTTGAACTGCTGGTTGAAAGGTAGAGGCACTGGTAGTCATTATTTCCCCTTGTTTGTTCAGGCCCTTCCAACAAAACAAACAACCTTTTTGTGATTGGATTGACATGGTGTTAACAATGCATTTAATGCCCAAATCAGTGTGAATACAGGTAAAGCCCTCACTAATACCAGTACCAGGATGTTAAAGCCACCTATTTTCTAAGCAGCCAAAAGGGAAAAAAAGCTTCTCCTCCTTTGGCAAACAAGGCAATGAGCTAGTATCCACCAGCTCACATCCTACAATCACCTTCCAGCTTAACATGAACACTCATCTCCTACCTGCTGTCCTTTCAGCGATTTCAGCCTCTGCTGCTTTCTCGTGGAGTTCCAACTTAAGCTTTAATTTTCTCTTTTCCTTATCTTCTTTAGTCAATTTTTCTTGAAGCTAAAACAATTAGAAAAAAATTATTCTTATCTGATAAATGCCTTCCATACATAATTAAATCCAAAGTAAGATTTTGTTGTTCTTAAATCTTTATATAATATTAGATTTAACTGCTTAAACACACTGAATCTCAGTGGAAAAAGTTCAGGTTGCAATATATTCTCTAAGTAGTGACTATCAGAAATGATATAAAAATGAAAAAATTATAAGCCACATGTATTTGTATATGTGCACAGAGACATAAAACAGGAACAACAGTATTTACTAAAAATACCTACTACAGAAGCTGTTTCATTCATTTCTGTGTCTTAAAGCAAAGAATTCTAAAGGGCTCTACTGATCCTAAAAATGAAAAATGGGCTGCAGGTTTATGCTTCTTTTAGTAATTCCAAAATTTTGAAAAAAAATCAATTAAGATAATAATCTTAATATCATATACAAATCTGACTGTGAATATTGCCTCATATTTCATTTAAATTGACAGTGTTACCTGATTCAAATTGGTACATAATAAGCACTATATCAAAGTATGGCAAGTATCTCATGCTCACACAGAATGCTTCTTTTCATTTTCTCTTTCCATTCTACCCTGGACTTCTGTCATCTGTGTTGTTTTCCCTCAGAAACAACATTCATGCTTCAGTCTGATTAGGTCAGACAATGAAAATATTAAAATCAGAAAATTATATAGAATTTTTAAAAGAACCCATAGAAAACGAGCAATATTTAATAAATTACATGCAGACCAGAGGAATGTTGGGGAGGACAAGAGGAAACAAAACGTGACACGTACATTGAGCTGGATGCATGTAATAATATAACAGGATACAAGGCATATATCATCATTAGCAACTTTGACGTTTGGTTACATATATTACCGAAGTGAAAGAATGCACAGATACTAAAAAATGAAGAAAAGTTAACAAAGTAGCATGAAAATAGCGGATAATATAACCCACATTTCATAACGTTAAAGCCAGGTTTTATTATAGTGAAATTTGAATATTTGCTTTATAGCAACATAAATTACCAGAGCTGTATGGAAAATGAATGATATTATAGAAAGCAAAAGAGCTTATTTTCATAGCCAATCACTTAACTGAACCACATACCTGGATGGCAAGACAACACAGGCCTACTGGTGAGGCATTAAAACAGAAAATAAAACTGAGTAATAATGGACAACAGAGAAAAACAAAAGAGTCAACAGCTAAGACACTGTTTACAGTAATTAGACTTTTTATATTTCTATACCTTTTTATTGCTTGTTCTGAGAATTTCCAGTTCTCTTTGGAGATATGCTACTGACGTCTCTTTATTTAAGTCTGAGATAACTTGATGAGAAGTCACAGATTCATAATTCATATCATTCTTTCCACATTCCAGTATACTATAATAAAGAGAATTATTAAATAATTTATATACAGGATTTCACAAATGACATAAATTTCTTATTCACAATAAATATGTAAAAATATTTCAGTTTAAACTTTTTATGTAGGTAAAGTATGATTGCTATAAAACAATAAATATATCAACTTCCAGATATACCAATTTATCAGTGGGGAAAATAAAGTTTGTGGAAAGCACATAGTGATCCCAAAGAGACTCTGGTTAAGTATACTTGACAAAAGTGTACAGGTTTTCATTTGTAGTTCTGGTTAGGATCAACTTATATTTTTTGCTTTCCTGAAAATGGATACAATCATTTTCCCAATTTTATTAAAACAGTATCATATTCATATTTTAATTATTAAATGGAAGACATTAAAATTAATATCTATGCCGCAAAGACTTACTGGTAAACATATTCCATAAGACAGTGATGTCAACCTGTAAGCAGGCAGTATAAAGAAGAGACGAGAACAAGACAGATTGTTTTCTGGTGTTATGGTGTTAAATATGTCAACACCGGTGGGTATAATGTTACTTATGCCAGTCTTTGACCCTGAGTCCTGGGATGCTCAGTGATTACAGGGCTATTACCATGCTCTCATATTGAATTATACTATAGATCTCTCAGCAGGAACGTAAGCTCTACCATTTATCTTTCTTACATGATTATAACAATGTTTATTCATGCTTCCATCATCCTTGCCTCTATACCTTAAAATATACCCCAAATTGTATTTAAGTAAGAATCTGCCACTAAGGGAGAATGTAGCCAGAAGTTTTCCTGTGTCCCGTCTGGTCCACAGCCACTCAGACCCAAGTAAACACATATATTAATTAAAACTGCTCAGCCAGTAGCTCAGGCTTATTATTGACTAACTCTTACACTTAAACTCAACCCATTTCTGTTAATCTATATGTCGCCACGTGTTATGTGGCTTTACCTGTGTGTCATTACATGTTGCTCCCTGGATGGCGGGCTGGTGTCTCCTGACTCAGTCTTCCTCTTCCCAGAATTCTCCTTGCCTGTTTATCCTGCCTATACTTCCTGCCTGGCTACTGGCCAATCAGTGTTTCATTAAACCAGTGTACAAAAGCATTATTCCACAGCAGAAGACCTCGAATACAGTTACTGATTTTACTGTGTATTGGTATCAATGAATATATCTTGCTAAGTAATTTTGAACAGAAAAACAACTCCACAAAAACCTTTTAAAAAACAGTGCTCTAGAAAATATGAAAAGAGAATTATGCTGTCATTTTCAAGTCTAATGTTACCTTTGCTGCATATGATTATCAAAGTAGCATAATACCATTGATAATAAACACAGGTTTCTCCACACTGGATGACTTAATGCTACAGAATGTAAATTAATAAGAAAGACTAAAGGTAGATAGAGTACAGGGTCGCCCTAAAAGTATTCACATCTAGCCGGGCGGTGGTGGCGCACGCCTTTAATCCCAGCACTCGGGAGGCAGAGCCAGGTGGATCTCTGTGAGTTCGAGGCCAGCCTGGGCTACCAAGTGAGTTCCAGGAAAGGCGCAAAGGTACACAGAGAAACCCTGTCTCGAAAAACCAAAAAAAAAAAAAAAAAGTATTCACATCATCCCAAACAAAGAACAGAGAGCTATGTAAAAAAAAAAAAAAAAAAATCTTTGAGCAGGTTTAAGCTTTGGTAAATAGTATCTCATATCCATTTCACAAGTATCCTTATACCCATAATGAAGAGTCACAGAAAATAACACTGAGGAGGAATCAAACTTCACTGCTTTCTTTAAACTCATCTTGTGTTGTCGCTCTCAGCTATCTAGACACATTATATCAACATTATGGAAGTAATAGAAAGCCCTTGCAGGGTCCCGAAATTGTTTTTAAGTCACTGACACATTAAATTTATCTGACACCAAAATGAAAAAGAGGGACAATGTGTTAAAGAAGAAATGTTGTTCCGATTCTTACCTTTTAGGTTAAACACTGAAACCAACACTCACCTGCACTTTGTAGATGGCCCTTCAAATGGATATGGACCAATGGCCTGTAAATTGCTGGAGATTCTCTCTGGTAGTTCCAGGTCCTCAGATGTTACTTCATTGCCTAATTCATGCATGGTTTGCTCAGAATTCATAGTCAGCTGCTCTACTGATGCACTCTCAATTCCCACTGAAGCCTCTTGTGCAAGACAAAAAGTTGTATCTGCACTAAAACAAAAATATATGATACATGAAAGGACAGAACCACATAGGAAAATTGTTGAATCAAATGAACATTCTTAGGAAAACACCTCACAGCTTTTAACACAGTTACTAGTCGTCCTCTACTGTAGTCGATTACGGATGTGCAGGCCAGCATTTGCCATCCGTATTTTTACTTCCCTCAACAGAAGCTACTTAAAGTAATGCCTTACAAATGAGGCTACACACTGTGACCTTGGCAGAGCAAGCCATACCTGTGCTAAGTGAATCAAAGCCTCTGGGAGAAGGATCAGCTCCTATTTTTTTTACATTCCCTAAATGATTACAGTTGCTGCAAGGACCATTGGTTTAAACACACTATTCTCAAAATAGCAAGGAATAAGGATATGGCTATAATGAATCAATACTGTACAACAGAACTATGGTTCGGACTGCCTGGGGGAAAATTACAGCCTTCATAAGTGTATAATGCTGTACAAGTTATTTAACACAATATTTTCTTGACTATAAAATGTAAATAATATATCACTGACTTAACTAAGTACCTGACATACCAATAAATGTGGTTTATTTCAGTAACATCATACTATTAAAATGGATGTAAGAATAATTTTAATATTAATGTCATCAAATACATATGATATATTAGAAAATATACTTTGTATGCTTAATTATATCTCAAAAATTATTTAAGTCCCATGCACTAAGCAATATTTATTTTAAAGAGATAAACTATATTTAATGGCATAGTAAAGTTTTGGAGGAAATAATATATACAAAATCAACTCTGTTATTCCTAAGATTGAAAGGCACAACTGTTGATTGTAACATATACTTCATTAACTCCAGCAGAAATAATTCTTCAGCCTCAAAAAGTAGTCTTAGAGATGTACAAGGAAATCTGCCAACATAAAATCCTCTAGAGGCACAAAAGTAATATTAAAATACAAAGAAAATATTATACAAAAAAAGAAAGCAACTCTCATAAAACATCATTTGATTTTTTGGTTGTATTAACTGTAGATAATAAAAACTTCAAGTCCAGATACTATTCATACTGGTAAATGGAAGCTACATCACAAATCACTTGCTCTTGGTAAGTTATTTTGATTTATCTTTGTTGAAGAAATGAATTAGAAGAGAGAAATGCTGTATCATAACTGCATGCTATGAAATAACCATGACAATTCAACATAATATTATTCTGAAATCTTATATTTAAAGATTAGTGGTTGATTTTTGAGATCTGAAAACTCTTTCATGGTTTGCTTTACATGCTCATTGACCATTCTGTTTTCCTAGAATACCTGGCATAAGAATGGAATCCTCAAACTCTCAATAAGAGAATTTTAGGGGCACTAAGGAGACATTCTATTAGTAGTAGATTGTGCATTATAACATGAATCACCAACCAGTATTTTACTGTGCCAATCCTCCATTCCAAACTTCTAGAGGAGATAGAGAAGCTTACAAATAAAAGGGCATTTGGTTTCCTCCTAGATTTTAGTAGTTCTGATATTTAGAGAAATTGTAGGGGGTGCCTGGACTGGTCTACTCTGGGAACCAGTCTAGCTAATAACCTTGCTGTCATCATAGAGCCTTTGTCCAGTGACTGATGGAGGCAGATGCAGAGATCCATGGCCAGGCACCAGGCTGAGCTCCGTGAATCCAATTGATGAGAGAGAGAAGGGATTCTGCAGGCAGGGGAGATGGAGATCTTGAATGGAAGATGTGCAGAGATGACCGGCCACACTAGTGGAAGCCCATGAACTGTGGACTGGTGGCTGGGGAGCCCCCATGGGACTGGACTAGGCCCTCTGGACATGGAAGATAGTTGTTTGGCTCGAACTGTTTGGGTGTCACCCAGGCAGGGGAATCGGGATCTGTTCCTTGGAATCTGGTGCCTGTGGTATGATACCTTGTGCAGCCTTGGTGCAGTGGGAAGGGGCTTGGACATGCCTAACCTCAGTGTTCTGGTCTCTGCTGACTCCCCATGGGAGACCTTGATTTGGGGGATGTGGGGATGTGGGGTGGCTTGGGAGAGAGTGCTGGGGCATGGGAGGATGGAGGAGGGGGAATCTGTGAGTGGTATGTGACGTGAGTAGAAATTTTCTTAATAAAGAAAAATAAAAAAAATAAATGCATACACTTCTGACATATTCTTTGTAATTATTTTAACATTTTTTTTATTTAATTTTATGTAAGTGTTTTGCCTGTATGGATGTATGTGCATCACTGTGTGCACAGTGCCCATGAATATCAGAAGAGGGTGTCAGATCCCACTGAAACAGAAGGTGCAGTTGTGAGCCACGATATGGGTGCTGGGAATCGAACCCTGGTACTCTGGAAGAGCAGCCATCCAGCCCCCAGTTCTGAGACTTCTTTATTTTAATTTTAAAATGTTTTAAAATGTTAATAGTTTAGAGGCTATGGCAGAAGGTTTGCTAGAGAGTTAATTTCAGACCAGCCTGGGCTCCAGAGTAAGACCCTGTACTAACATTATCCCCCTCCCTCCAAAAAACACCCTCAAAAGTTAATGTTTGAAACATTTAATATATATATAAGGAACCCATACTGCATGGGTTAGCTCTATTTCTAATTTTGTTCAGTCATAAAACCTTTTAGATTCCTAATTTGAACTGTTCATCTGACATTTAGAGTCTGCTCTGCAAATCAAACTATCTATACTCTTTTATTGAGAATTTAATTTTACTTCAGAGTAAACAAGGCTGATTTATAAATCTTCCCACCTGCCTGCCTGCATTTTATTTTTTTAAAAAAAATCAGTTTGGCAAACACTATTTCATCAAATTAATGCTAAAAACTGGAAAAGCTTTCAAATGTTCTTCTTTACTACATTATTCTATATAAGTATTCAACCATTCCATGGAAAATTTGATTTTTTTAAAATTTTACTCCTTGTTCGATATTTTGACCCTCATTTGTGGAAACCACATCGTGCAATGTACCCTATGGCTGTGCTCTGGGGAAACAAACAGAAGAGAAGAACAGACACTCTGTGAAGGACTCTAGTACAATTATGATGAGAAAACGATGTAATGATTTGAATATCTGAATGTAACAAGGACCAGGCCTGGGCTATACAACTGATTATATGGAAGATCTATGCACACTCAAGCCTTATTCTCTAGGAAGACTTTACAAAGGCACTTGCTCCAAAAATGAAAAAGTAAGATTGCGCAAATGTTGTTGTTTGGTTTTGCTCTTTGGGGGGCCCGTGCCACTCTGATGCACACAGAGTCTTATTATTACTAATGAATGCCTGGCCTTAGCTTGGCTTAGTTCCTTAACTTTAAATTACCCCATCTACCTTTTTCCTCTAAGCTTTTCCCGTTCTCGTACTTCTGTAAATCTTACTCTTCCTCCGTGGCTTGCTGTGTAGCTGAGGGGCTGGCCCCTGGAGTCCTCCTCTTTCTCTGGCTACTTCTTCCTCGTCTCCATTTTCTTTTTCTTTCCTCAGATTTCTCCTTCTCTGCCTGCCCGCCCCACCTATCCCTTCTCCTGCCTTGCTATTTTGACCAGCTCTTTATTAGACCACCAGGTGTTTTACACATGCACAGTAACACAGTTTCACAGAGTTAAACAAATGCAACATAAGCAAAAGTAACACACATTAAAATAATATTCCACCACAGGCACCAGGCTCCTAAGCTACATAAATGCTTACTTGATAAAAAAAAAAAAAAAAAAGAAAGAAATTGTTGAAACATCAAATTATTCCCAGGCTTTTAAAAACTCAACCACCGATTAAAAAAAATGCTTGTGATGGTGAATATGATCAAAATATATCATACATATATATGAAATATTCAAAGCATAAATAAAATTATTATATTAAAGAAAAAAATAATATTGCACAACAAGCAAATAAACGAACTGACAAATGTTAGTTTGGTGATCAAAAAGTTGACAGACGATAAGAATAAAAACATCTTAAGAAAATTACTCTTCAGGCATCTTTGTGGAAGAAGGGGCAAAAGTATTTTAAGAGCCAGAGGAACAGGGAGTTCACTGTGAAACTACAGCTCCTAGAAATGTCAGAAGCCGCACCAATCAAGTCTCCCATCACCCCCAATAAGACTGCCTAATAATGAGCTGAACAAAGATAACAATAGGCCAGCAAAAGCGGATGGGGCAACCTATGAGGCCTCCATCCTACACAAAGAACTACAGGCAACTAACGAATACAGAGAACAGGAGAAACAGTCTTCCCTGGTGATGATCATAACAATCAGTTAACCAAAACCAAATGGTCCGCACTGTAAACTTATACATACATGTAATGTTATACACATTGAGTAGTTTGCATTTATGTATTTAGGAATACACATACATACATACATACATACACACACACATATATATGTTATATATATATCACATATATAACAACAAGAGTACAAGGGGGTACATAGAAGGGTTTGGAGGAAGGGAAAAGGGAAATGATGTGACTATATTATATTTTTTTCTATACATTCATATATCTATTTCTATATCTATCTATGTAGATATATCTACAGACAGGTATCTACATAGACAGATAGATTTCTCTATGTAGCATGTGGTTCTGCTTCTTCCTCAGGATCATCAGCTGAAGGTCCACAAGGAGGGAACTAGCTGAAGTGAGAACAGGCTTCAGGCAGCAAAATAGCCCTCGGGAGATGACTTCAGTGAATTAAGTCAACTTCATTCCACAGTATAGGAAATATATAGGATTGGGAAGCCTGGGGACAAACCCTAATTTGCATTAAGTGGCACCTCTCCTATCATAAGAGTGGGTTCGTGGCAGCAGGGTCCTACAGCAAAGCTCCTAGTACAAGTCTTGGTTACCATTATGTGCAACAGGGGGAAACTTCTAGCAGGAAACTGTGCCAAGGGTCACACTACAGATAAATCAGGCATCCAGGCTTTCAGATAAGGTCAGTCCTCTGGGCCTAGAGACATTCTCCCGAAAAGGGCAGTCCTGGTGTTGCCAAGCTTTGGAG